TTTTTGTTTTGGTTTTTCGAGACAGGGTTTCTCTGTGTAGCCCTGGCTGTCCTGGAACTTACTCTGTAGACCAGGCTAGCCTCGAACTCTCGAACTCAGAAATCCGCCTGCCTCTGCCTCCCAAGTGCTGGGATTAAAGGCGTGCGCCACCACCGCCCGGCTGCACTGTTGATTCTTAGCATGTGCCTAGATATAACAATCCCTGATATCTGTTTTATAAGCCCACCCTTAAACAAAGAAGAGCTAAGAAGGTCAGAAAAAAAAAGTTAAATTTTTGAACAACAGCAATTAACATAATTAAAAAGTAGAATTATGCTCTGATGGTTCTCAAGTGGCAAAGACGTTGGAGCCGACCATGGTAGGAGTCAGTTTTCCCTTCACTGTCGTGGGGCAGAAGAGGCAGGGGACCGTGCCAGCAGACAGAAAAACTGGTAAAGTTGTAGCAAGTTCAGAACCCCATCAGTCTCATAATTGAGAACGTCAGGAGTCCAGGTTCCTGTCCTGGAGCACGTGACCATGGCACGCCACTAAGAGGACCATAACAACCAATCACATAGCATAAAAACCTACAGTATGGCGGTGCTGGAAGAGAGCCTTCTACAGACTTAGGTGCAGCTCTGTATGGTGAATCAGCCCCTCCCTCCACCCCTGCCCATTGGTCCTTGATGAAGGACCATGCTAATGAGGTATCTAGATAGGACCGAGTGTTCAGCCAATGAGCTTCCCTTCCTGGGCATCCCTTCCTGCAAAAAATGTATTAATGTTTCATCCTGAGTAAGAGGTCTCATCTTCCATGAATAAGACAGTTTGGACAACTAAAGGCTGTCTCCTTCATCAAGGATCACTTGGGGTGTGTGTGGGGGTGGGGAGGGATGGCTCATCATACAGAGTTGCACCTAAGTCTCCTGTGGAAGGCTCTCTTCCGCCCCTCTACACTCCTGGCACTCAATCGTAGCTAAGCCAGATTCCCTCTTCCCCTAGTCCTGGGCTTATCATGGCCTGAAGGCTCTCACTCCCAGCACCTCGAAGTCCCCAGCGGCTGAGTGCACAGAGGTTTGCGAAACACAGCACTCATCCTAGACCCCACGGCCCTGCTGATCTCACCCAAGAAACACGGGCTGGGACCCCATGGTCAGCAATTTGCGGCAGAGTTGTAGACCCTGTGACTTCCTGTTTTTCTAACAGCTCCTAAGTGTGCTGCCGATTCCCCCAGAAACTTGCTAATTGTTGAGAAAACAACTTATTTATATGGAAAAGTCCTGTAGCTTGGATTTCAAATTAATTATATGATACCAGAAAGAAACAAGATAAAAGAAAAAGTCAATGTTACCAGAGTTATGAATGGGAACATTTTATTTGAAAACATTCTCAAAATTGAATAATGTTTATGAATGACCACTTAACACAAATTGTAGTGAAATCTTCCTTTAGCACGTGTTTTATCAAGCATTCTCTGTTAACAGTGCACTGTCTTTATGTCTTTATGGGAATATGGTGGTGAATGAGATATAATTGTTCTCCTCTTGGGACATAAGATAGGAAAGTCTGTCTAGTAAGACCTTCTATGATGATGGAAAAAGTCTGTTGTTTAACACTGAAGTCAGTTCCCACTGAAGGTTATCAAATACTCCAAGTGTGACCAGTGTGCTTGAAGTGGAATTTTAAATGTATTTGATTGTAACTAACTTAAAGTCAGCATGTGGCTGGTGGCTACCGTATCAAGCAGATCAGTCCTGGGGCCAAGCATTGGGAGGTGTACAAGGTTTTCCAGAACTATCCTGTCAGAGTGATTCAGAGGAGGGCCTCAAGGACCTGTGATTATTAGACAAAGATATCATTAATTCAGACATTTTAAAGAGCCTTCTCATTAAAACACACGTGTTGCCCAGCCACAAACCCAACTTCAGCAAAGAAACCTGATTTGATCCAGCTGAGTTTGAAAGCCACGAGACCTGTTTACTGCTTTACATTCTTCTCATCATCCCAAAGGAGAGTCACTTGGCACAGCCTTGAAGAGAAAATGGAGGGCGGATGGTGGCAGAGTCACTATGACTCGCCCATGTCTTCACTCCCTGCTGTATGTGTGTACATATACTACATAAAAATATATAACTGTGTGGTAACCTGCTCTCCACACAGGAAAGAACGCAGAAATGTCAACAGCTTTGAGTATTACATGTACTTGGCCCTGCACATTCATTCTCTCTCTATACCAGATGTTCTTTGGAATTCATTTTGAATGGTTTGTGTCCTCAGCAGGGAGAACCAAATGGAAATTTCCAGATACCCTGAGGTATGTTCTGGAGATCCAAGGCACTTAGTAGGACATAGAAATGGTACTTTAAAGTCCCACTGAAAAGTTGTGAAGTGGGAAAGGTATGGGTTGAGGAGCTGTGGGTCCAGCCTGGAGCTTGGGGGTGGAAGTATATTACAGTAAGTCTACATTTCTGAGCTCTGGCTTCTTCCTTAGCCAGACTAAAGAGCCATATCAAACTCAGGCTTCTCCTAGCTTCCTTTCAGCATCTCTGATGAAACACTTTGACCAATAGCAATTTAAGGGAACAAATGGTTTATTTTGGCATGCAGGTCACAGTCCATCATTGGGGAAAGTCTGGGCAGAAAGTTAAAGCAGAAACCACGGAGGAACTGCTGCTTGCTGGCTCACTCACAAGTTCATACTTTCTTATACAGCACAGGACCACCTGCCTAGGGAATGGTGCTGCCCACAGTGGGCAGGGACTTCCATACCAATGAACAATTAAAACACTCCCTAAGGACATACCCACAAACCAATGTATTCCCTTGAGACTCTGTTCTTGTGTGACTCTACCCTATGTCAAATTGACAGTTAAAGCTAACTAGAAAAAGGCCAAAGATGAGACAGCCAAGCATGGCCCCCAGCCATTATTTTCTCTTTACTGTTTAAGTAGATCCGAGAGAGGGCTATTTTTCCTAGGGACAACTGAACCAGGCTCTTTGTAGCATCAGCCATGGTCATCTACCTGGAATGGGGTCAATATGGACATCAGTGAAATAGAGTACAGATGGGATTTTCACCGTGCATGCGTCCATGGGTAGCAAACGGTATGGGAATGGGCGGGTCACTTTGGTGAAACTGTGTAGCACAAGACACAAGCCTTGCCAGGACTGGCCTGCGTATCATGATCTTTCAGCAGGGTCTTGGGTTGTTCTCTCCTCTCGATGACAAATAAAGACAAACATCTCCGTTCCTAGGTCTGGAGTTTTCCTGTGGTTACTGCTGTTCTTAGGAGAAAGAACTGACATAGAGCCACAGAGTGTGTGGTTGCTTCCAGCTCTAGGAAAGGGGCGGCACAGAGGAAATGAAAACAGACTCTGAGGAACAGCACAGAGAAAGGTGAAGTGGCGGCTTCTCCTGTCCTTCTCAGCTGCCAGCAGCACATACCTAAGCCCAGTCAGTAAGGTTACTTCCTTCAGGCGGGGTTGTGTTGCTCTCCACAAAGGAGGAAGCAAGGGGAGGAGAGCTGTTTTCCTCAGGACCGGCTTCCTGTTGGAGGTGGGTGGAGCTCCATGATGGTGGTGGGTGGGGCTCCCTGCTTAGTGGTAGGTGGGGCTCCCTGTGGGAGGTGGGTGGGGGTGGGGCTCCCTGCTTAGTGGTGGGTGGGCCTCCCTGTTGGAGGTGGATGGGGCTCCCTGCTGATGGTGGGTGGGGCAATGATCATTTGCCTCCTTCAGCACTGTTGAAAGCTTGATCCTCCTCAAGGAACGCGAGTTCTATGTGGGTCTCTCCACTGAGCCCCTAGGATGATTCTTCAAGGAACTGTGTTCCTTGGTCAAATCCCTCGGAAGTGCATTAGGATGCAGATTCCAGACTCCTACACCAGAGCTGCCATATTGGAATTTTGGGTTTGGAGTCTGCCCTGCAATTTCATTCCAAGAGCAAACATTTTGAATAGGAAAAGCACCCAGAGCATGGTCCTCACAGCAAGCCTCCCCTCCTCATTATGCGGCAGGAGGGAGGTTCTGGAGTTGGGGGAGGGTGGGATGCTGATAGCGTGCTGGGAAGGACCAGCAGTCATGTTAACCTGTCCTAGTGCTGGGTCAACTCCTAGGTCCTCAGATTCCTCCTTGCCTCCTTGATGGTGCATAGAGACTGGGGGATATTTGGACTTCAGAGCCCATGAATCCGTCCCCACAGTTGGTTCCGAGCAGTTTTACCTTGATGCTTATATATTTCTTCACCGGAGTGGCTTGATTTCTTATTTATGAAATTGGAAACAGTTATACATGCACATTTATTTATTTTCCATGTTTTATGCACACACACACATTTTATACTGGCAATAAACTAGATAACAGAAAATGAAACATATTGAACGTCTCCTCTGCGTGCCAAAGGTCTTTATTAATCTAAACCCACACACAAGACAAAGGTCAGGGAATTTTCTTTCTAAAGCTGGTATCAGATTTGTGGTTCTGCCCCCAAACCGCTCAGAACTCAGAGTCATGAAGACGGACTATCATGATCTTTCAAAGCCTTCATTTCTTCCCCCTGAAAGGACAGCCAGCTAAGACGCATTTTCTAAATCCCCCTTCCCATCAACAGTTCCCAAGCTGATTAGTGTTCAGCTCACTGTTCCTCTTTCCTGATTACTAAAGGGCCTTTGATTCCTTTGGCTTTGCAGAATTGATTTGGCAATAAACCAATCAATTAAGAGTGTCCAAACATAGTTTCCTATTTATTTTTAGAGCAAGCACATCTTGGCTGGATACAGATCCCAAACTTCCTCAGCTTCCCAAATAGTTAGTGTGTCTTTAAGAGAGCAGGTGCACTTGAGGGAGACAGAGAGGCCACTCAGCCTGCCTGATATCTCCTGGGTTGCTGAGCCACAGGAAGAGTCTGGGAAGGGTGCCACAGACTTTCACTCTCTTGCATCCCTGAAATGATATGGCTAACGCAGAGCCAGTTTTGTGGACTCTGTGACCTCAGAAGCAAACAGCTATTAATCAGGCCAGGGATTTATTGAATAGTATCTGCTGTGCCTGGGGCAGAGTCTCAGGTAATAAGCCCTCCTGTTCTAACTCCACTTCTTAGTCATTATCCCATGTGACTTCCCCAGTGCAAAAGCCAAAGACGGCCAGTGACCCCACTGTCAAGTCAGTACAGTGACTCAGAGAAGGATGCTGTCTTGTGTCCAATCCCAAGGCCATGTGTGGCCTAGGACTCCACCCTTCTGTGTCCTGGGCCTGCGGCAGCCTACTCTCTGGTAGCTTCCTTATGGATCTTTTTGAAGGCAGGAGTCCTCTTTGGTATCCTCTCCAGTTCTGTCAAATCCTGCTGGACAGACTCAACCGACTGGTGTCTTAAGGAACACGCACAGGGGGAAGCATGGAGCTTCTCTGAGTTTGGGATCCGGCCAATGGAGAGTTTCACTTTCTAAGACAAACCACAGGAAATAATTAAGTGACTGACGATTATCCTCAGACTCCTCAACTCTCAGCCAGCCAGCCGTCATACCCCTTGTATCTGTTCTAGAAGGAAATCCTATGATGCGCTGTGATGAGCCAAAGGCAGATGATCTGTACGGTCAAGTGGAGCATGGACTTTCATTTTCTGTCACCTGCTGGCCTAAGCCTCTAGGCAGGTTCTAAAAAGTGACAATGGCCCACCGTGCTGGCCAGTATTATCTTAGCTTGGCATGAGGCAGAGTTATTTTGGAAGAGAGAACCTCAATTAGAAAATGTTCCCACACCGGGCAGTGGTGGCACACGCCTTTAATCCCAGCACTTGGGAGGCAGACGAAGGTGGATTTCTGAGTTCCAGGCCAGCCTGGTCTACAGAGTGAGTTCCAGGACAGCCAGGGCTACACAGAGAAACCCTGTCTCGAAAAAACAAAACAAAACAAAAAAAAAGAGAGAGAGAGAGAGAGAGAAAGAAAGAAAGTGTCCCCTCTAGATCAGCTGGTGGAGAAAGTTTGTGGTACTTTTTTTTTTTTTTTTTTTTTTGATTTCTAACTGATGTGGAGGAGCCCGGCTCACTGTGAGTAGCTAGTGGTCCTGCTGCCATAAGGAAGCAGAACAAGCTAACTACTAAGAGTAACTGCAAGCAGCACTCCTCCCTGGCCTCTGAGACACTTCCTGCCTTAGCCTTCTTTGGTGATAGGCTGTGGTGTGGAAGTATAAGAGACATTAACCCTTTGTTCCCCGAGTTGCTTTTGGCCATAGTGTTTTCTTAAAGAAATAGAAGTCTAAGATAGCCACAGAGATAGACCCAGTTGCTACAAGAACTCAGCGGGCCCCTGGAACCCTGTGCATCCAAAGGAGACTGCCATACAGGAAAGGGCCAGACAAAAGCAGAAGAAAGAACACACACCATCTCCTTTGCCTGTAAAATGTTGTCACGCTTTCTGTGTGCTGTCTCTAGCCCACCCCTCTGCCTGCCTTCCATCTTTCTCCACTGTAGCCCAACAGATATGGCTGGCTCAGGTATGTCAGCCACAGTAGATGCCTGCCGTTGCCCCCACAGGTCCCTTTCCAACAGTTCTTTCTTCTTCCAAGAACCAAGTGCTTAAATTTTTAAAAGAGGATTGGCTATCTACTCTCACATAAACGAAGGGAGCCAGGAGTGGTGGAGGGAACGGAATTTTCTGATCCTCTAGATCAGAGGCTCTCAGGCTTCCCAATGCTGTGACCCTTTAATACAGTTCCTCATGGCGTTATGACCCCCAGACATAAAATTACTTCCGTTGAGACTTCATAATTATAATTTTGCTGCTGTTATGAATCATAATGTAAATATCTCATAGTCAGGATATCTGACACATGACCCCTGTGAGAATGTCGCTTGCTTCCCAAAGGGGTTGTGGCCCATAGGCTGAGAACCACTGCTCTAGATAGTCATGTTGGTGGACACCGGTAGTGGTCAGTCCTATGTAGCTGTTCTCAGGTAGAGTGAGGAAAACAGAAATAGCCCAGGAGAGGTGCAGTCTAGACTGGCAGTCACAATGACGCATATGCAGCCACGCCCAGGCGGAGGATTCGATGAGAGTCAAAACCCTCTTCCTGACTGCTGAACACATATCTGAGTCTTTGGGTCAGAGTAACGTTCAGCAGCTTCTGGAAGGTGCATGTCGGTTCTTTTATGGTTTTTGTTTGTTTGTTTGTTTGTTTGTTCTTGTTTTGTTTTAACCGTTTGTCTGAGTGTGGACTGTTGGCAGATGTCGTGAATTATAAGTTACCAGACTATTGGACTAAGACCCTCAAACCGAGCTCTTCTGTGCATCAGGGATTGAAATCTCTAGCCAAGTATCATGGCCTCTGAGGAAGCCTCCTGCCCTCCCTCTGAAGATCAGTCTATTCTCCCTCTCATGTCTCAAGCACATACTGTGCTCTTAAGAAGTTCCGACTGTACTTGTTTTTAATCCACTGATCTAGGAGCTACTTAAATGTAAGCTGAGGCCATCTTAGTAGCCTTAGAACAAACAGCATCCAGGATAGCATAGTAGGATGCTCAGTAAATGATGAGGAAATGAATGAATGAATGAATGAATGAATGAATGAATGAATGAATCCTGGCCCTGCCAGTAGCTAGGTGTGTGTGTACTTTAGTCACACACCTGACTGGTCTTCGTCTTTTACATAATAGCAATAATAACTGTTTTCATCCAACTGGCAGGCTTACGGAGTGATGAAGAAGAGACGAGATGTGTCCTTAATATGCATAACACGTAACAGCAGATCTAGAGCCTAAAGAGGGGTCTCTAGGGTCGCGGTTTGAAGAAAGATCAAGTCAAGGGTCTGTTTTCAAAGAACGTTAACTGGGGAGTCCCATATTTGGATGTAAGTGCTTTATAAAAGACAAATGTGAATAATTGAAGCCCAGCAGGCTGAGACTTTCCTCCAGGCACATCCCAGAGATCCAAGGAGTGCAGTTTGAAAACTGTAGGAATGGATGAATGAATGGATGGATGGATGAATGAATGGATGGATGGATGGATGAATGGATGGATGGATGAATGAATGGATGGATGGATGAATGGATGGATGGATGGATGGATGGATGGATGGATGGATGAATGGATGGATGAATGGATGGATGGACGGATGAATGGATGGATGGATGAATGGATGGATGGACGGATGAATGGATGGATGGATGGATGGATGGATGGATGAATGGATGGATGGACGGATGAATGGATGGATGAATGGATGGATGGACGGATGAACGGATGAATGGATGGATGGATGGATGGATGGATGGATGAATGGATGGATGAATGGATGGATGGACGGATGGATGGATGGATGGATGGATGAATGGATGGATGGATGAATGGATGGATGGATGGATGAATGGATGGATGGATGGATGGATGGATGGATGAATGGATGGATGGATGGATGAATGGATGGATGGATGGATGGATGGATGAATGAACAAACGAACAAATGAATGAATGAATGAATGGGTCCTTGCTCTGCTCCTCACTTTACAGAGATGCTAAACACAGAGAAGATGGTGCCTATCCAAAGGTCTCTGGGCTCAAAATCAAAGTGGGCTAAGAAGGGATGAACACCATGGAGACTGAACTAGCCAATGAGACCACGTAAATACAGGTTAGCTCTTTAAAGACAGATGCTGAGTGTTGAGCCACACATTATGTGGAATTTTAGTAATAACTCCATGCAGAAGGCACATCGATGTCAGATTCTCAATGAGAAAACAGACACACAGAAAGAGGAGCCTCTTAATGTTGCATGGGCAACACAGGTCAGACTAAGGTCATAGTGACTGTGTGGAGCAGATGCTCTGTGCTAGAAACACAGCAAGCATGTCACAGCATGCGATACCACTTGATTCTTCAACAACTGGTGCAGTCGGTGTCCTGACTTTGCCAGTTTTACAAAAAAACAAGGCGTAGACTGCTTTAAGGGGGATACAGTCCACACGCTAGTCTGAGTCCACGGGAGCTCTTCCTGTCATCTCACGGTGTTTGACTTCAAGAAACCCAAAGCCTTCTCTCCTAACCAGAACTTTCCCCAATAGTACTTGACTAAAAGGTAGACGCTATCATGGTCTGAGTAGGTCTGAGACCCCACCTGAGACACTGATCTTGTCGCTCCTGTCACCAACTTGGTCTGGCCAGGGCTGAATCACAGGACTCACCTCCTTCTGGATACATCGGGTTAGAAACAAGGACACCTCCTCCAGGCTTTGAGGCTTCAGGTCATTCACGGCCAAGATGTGATCTCCATAGTAGAATAAGCACCCTAGTCGGGGAGGGCCTTCCCATCGAGCCACACTGCAGGGGGAACACAATATCCAACAGGGAAGTAAGGCGGAGCTCACTAGAGGAGCGGGAATTGGCATGCTCACTCTGAGTTCATTCGGAGCTGAGCCAGCTGAGTCGTCCCACATGGCTGGCCATCTCCTCTCTCTGTTTGGATTGACTTCTTTCCCTTCACACTTTCCTCTCTCTCAAGCCCTGCTCCAAGAAAAGCACCCATGAAGGCCCTGCCAAACCCAGTCCCTTGTTTTGCTTGTAGTGAATCTCTCCTGTCCCAGGACTTATAATTACACACAGTGGGAAAACTTTGGTTGTAGCTTTGATAAGACATACTTTTTCTACTTACTTATTCATGCGGCTATCCTTTTTGCCTGGCTTTGTGACCCTGGGATTATAGACCTACCCCCGTTTGTTTCCTTAGTTGGTGTTTTAAATTTTATAAGTCCACAGTTCCAAGGAAACAGGATGATCAATAAATGCCTGACAGAAGCGAGCACACAGCGCCGCTCAATGGCCATCTAATGAGTAAATAGTGAATGGACAACTCTGTGAGCTTGGCCTTGGCAAGCTAGTTGCAAGCCTTAGACTGCAAAAATTTGGAAAGATGGAAAGTTATGACATTGTGGTGTATTCTTTATGTTAAAGAATTATTGTGTAAAATTCCAATCTTCTAGGGCTGGAGAGATGGCTCAGTGTTTAAGAGCACTGGCTGCTCTTTCAGAGGACCGCCCCCCAACCCCCGACCCCTGCCCTTGGGTACAATTCCCAGCATCTACATGGCAGCTCACAACTGTCTGGAACTGGAGTTGCAGGGAATCTATGGCACCAGGCACATATATGGTGCACATATCTGTGCATGCAGGCAAAATACCCATACACATAAAATAGAATAAATAAATATTTTTGATCTTCCACTAAAATGAACTTAGCAGGCTTATTTATTTGGCGATGTGGGGAAATACAGTCTCACTATGTAGTAAAGCTGTCCTTGAACCTGCTATGAAGCTCAGGTTGACCTTGAACTCTTCATCTAGGGTATGAAGAGTACTGGTTTGTGTCACCATGCCTAGTCACTGTCTACAAGGATTATAGAATCGGAATATTGCAATTATGCTAGAAAATGTCTGCCACACAGACTTTGTGTTAAGAGTTTTGGAGTAGAGGTTTTCACTGGGGTATGGGACTCATAGATCCTCCTTGACATCTTTTTCTTTTAGATCCCATTAACTTTTTCTCTTTTGATTCATTAAATATTCATTCTGCTGTGCCTGGGAATGGCACCCTTGACATTCACGCTCCTTTGAAGAATCAGAAACATTCTGATTGGTGGGCTGTGTGGTCCTCTTAAACGTACCCCCCAAAAGCTGACCTCACATAGAGCAGTACAATCTTGTCTCCCATCCTCTCTGGGGCAAGCACTGTAGTCTGTCCAACATCATTTTTGTCAAATGTGGTATTTCAGAATAAGAGTCTCCCCCACCCTTGACTCCTGTTTATTCCCCATCATTCACGGTTCCCACCTACCATATCCGTCCTGCTGCTTCTACCAGAGCAAGATAGTTGATGGCATCCCGAGGGGAGAGGAACACGTTCAGAGTCTCCACTTGGCTCTCATCGGGGATGTTGCTGAGACAGAAAACATTTGTGTAAGTCACATCGAACAGCCAACTGTCCCTGGCTGTGAATGATGCTTTCAGAGTACACTTTTGGCCTTCTGTTTCTGAGGTAACATTTTCCAGCTAAACCTTGTCCAGAACATATGAAGAAAAAATATATGAATTTAAGGCACTGAACGTCATTCATTGTATCCTTTCCTGCCCGTCTTGAGATGTGGTAGCAGACGGCAGACAATGAGGAAGGAGGCAAAACTGGACTGAGTGAGTTTATTCCCATGTCCATCAGGTCAGTTTGCGTATTTGTCTTCCTGAAAATATTCCGTACAAAAGGACATGCAAAGTGGCTAAGATTACAACTAACCGGACCACCCAGAGCTCCCAGGGACTAAACCACCAACTAAAGAGTACACATGGAGGGAGCCAGGACTCCAGATACATATGTAGCAGAGGATGGCCTTATCTGACGTCAATGAGACGGGAAGGAGGCTCAATGCCCCAGCATAGGGGGATGTTAGAAGGCTGAGGTGGGAGTGGGTGAATGGGTGGAGGAACACCCTCATAGAGGCAAAGGGGAGAGAGAGGAGGGATGGGATGGGGGTTGTGGTGGGATAAACGGGGAGGAGGATATCATTTGAAATGTAAAATAATAGTAATAATAACAATAATAATAACAATAATAATAACTATCTTATCATGTGCTCTGGACATCACCTAGGTCCTACTCAGAACCTCAGGAGACTTGCCTGCCCACAGGATGTTCAGGGGAGAGGTTGGTGATGCCCTAATCAAATCAGTGTGGTCCAGGTATAGGGTTAAAAAGACTGGCCAAGGGGAAAATGTCACCATAGTTGGAAATGCCACTCTCACCCCAGGGACCACTCCTCTTCCCTCTCTCAGCCACTGCCTACACTCACAACATCAGTGACACTGAAGTGTATCAGGTTCTCAGCTGACTGGGAAACTTTGAGTTATATTTGAAGATAAAGTGTGTTTAAGGCATCTGCCTCCCTCTTAGGGCCCATGAAGTTTTAGAAATCAGAGCTTTACTTGAGTAGTATAGACAATTTCACAACAGTTAGTGGGGCGGACCCCTTTTGGCCATCTGTGGTTCGTGCTTCCGAATCGGCAGGTGAAAGATATGGATCGTTTCCTGTGTCATGTTCTTGGTGAGGAAGCCCGAGCTCTGACGTCTCTGGAGAAATTTGGAATTCGGGTTGGTCGTCGGCTGGTGCAGAGGTTGATTCTTTGAGGACACTGGAGTATAAGAAGTTAATAGGGTCCTCTGTTTACACACATTCATTGATACATTCATTGATAGCTTTCCTCTGTATCCATCAAATATAAGCATCTAACAGCCATTAACAGCCGTGTGAGGACTAACAAAGTCCAGAAGTCTACACAAGCCTCGGAACCCCACCACAGGCAGAGCCAAACATGCTTTCCTTCTAAAACTGTAGTCAAAATGACCGTTTAGAGGGTCAGGAGGACGGAGAGAGAGAGTGACAGACATAAAATCTAGTAGATTTCTGTAAATAGAAATGTCCTGAGGATGTCCCAAGTGGGTTTCTGTGGGTGAAGAAACCACATTTTCTTCTCTTAAGTCCACAGGTTGAACACCCTTCACCTGAGCACCTGAACTCTGGAAATGTTCAGTGACAGAATGATTCTACAAAGGGAGAACTCCACACCATCAGGCTCTCCTTCATAATGAAGCAATCTCAAAACAATTTTGCATAAGATTATCATAAGGTATATGTATGAAGCATGTGTGTATTTCATGGTTAATGAGTTCTACTCCCTGAGAGATATTATTATGAATATGCAGCTATTCCAAAAACTAAAAAAAAAAAAAAAATTCTGATTCCCAAAACATTTATAACCCTATGCATTTCAAATAAAGGATACCCAACCTGTATCAATCAATAGTATGTGATGATGATATAGTCTTTGGTGATGTTTTGTAGCAATTTGTCAATAGTCAAACAAATGAGCTGGGGGCTAGAGAGATGGCTCAGTGGGTAAAGTGTTTGCCATGTAAGCAGTTGGACCTCAGCTTGGATCTTCAGAGCCCATGGAAAGTCAGGCATGGTAGCGTGCCTCTGAAGTCCCGGTGCTTCTGTGACAAGATGGGATGTGGAGAATCATGGGAAGCTAATGGTGGAAACAACAAGAGGCCCTGACTCAAACAAAGTAGGTGAGGACCAACACCCAAGGTGTCCTCTGACCTCCAACCTCTGACCTCTGACCTCCGACCTCCGACCTCCGACCTCCGACCTCTGACCTCTGACTTCCACAGGTAGCATAAGTGCACCTCTCTCTCTCTCTCTCTCTCTCTCTCTCTCACACACACACACACACACACATGCGCATGCACACCATTCACATAAATAAACACATACCCTCCCTCACACAAAGGTTAACACAGTGACCTGGTAGTAACTGCTCCATTAGAAGCAGTATTTAAGAAAGCCATTCCACTCACCAGGATCTCACCGCTCTCATTGACACGTAATCGCTCTCCACTCTCTTGAACCCTTGGTCTGGACTGTCGGATTCAGTAGAGTCATCAGAATCATTGGATCCAGCAATATTCTCCAACTAAAGACAAGAGGAACAGATGGAAGGATACAGGTCTGCCGCTGACCAGCCACCTCCTCATCTCATGTCACGCTTCTCTGCATCTGGAATAACACATCTTCCATTGCAGGGGGAGTGCTTCTTCAAGGAATATCAACCAGCCTTAACCACAGGAGACTGAACCACCACAGTTTCTGTCAGATTCATAGCCTATCATGCCCCATTCCAGACACACGTATTCTATTGGGAAGTATAGATTTTCCTTTCTGCTTCATCCCGAGCCAACGAATGCCATGAACCTTTCCCCCAGGCGGTTGAGTCTATGAATCATGGAAGCTAACTGGGCCAAAGGCTAGCCACATGGCCGCTCACAAACTCTGACGCTTCCTCTCACATTTGCCATTGACTTCTCATTGGAGCCTCCCAGTCAAGGCAGTCTTCAGCACAGCGGCCTCCTCGCCAGAGGCTCTTCCAGACGTCACATTCACACTGTCTTCCCCACCTTCCTCATGCTCTTCTCTTCTCTTGCCCAGTGAAGTCCTGCTCAGTCATCCCCGGTTCTTGAATCACCTCAGCCCTCCTGACTTTTATAGAGTTTCGTCTACTTCCCCAGACGCCATAGTCCACAGAGGCTCTGCAGTTCATCCTTACCACACGCCTGATGGCTTGGTTGTCCCAGATAAGTATTTTTGGTGAAAGAAGTGTTCTATGCTTAAGAAACATTGGACAACACCTCTGCAACCCTCTTGGTAACTTATAATACAGGATGTCATACCGCGGGCTCTGAGGACTTTGCTGTACGGATAGCTTGTATAATTTAGCACATCCATAACCAACCTGACCCCAGAATCCCTCCCTAAGTGAACATGTCACTGTCTAGTAGAAAACCTTCAATTTTGGAGATGTCTCAACTCTCTGGCCACCATTTTGTTCTCCTGCCCAGCCTTCCCCCCACATCCTCTATCTATCTGTGTGTACCACAGATACCACTTCGTGGCCAATGTGCCCAAAAGTCAACTCATGTTTCACCACTTCCCTGCCCACAGCATAAAGTCAACTTAGAACTCACTGCCTGTAATGGGCTGGCTCTTTTGTTCTGTTAATTTTCTACTCTGCCGTTCACATACTCTGAACAATGGCTTACCTAAGCGATTGGCCAGATACGGATGTCAGTGGTCTCTGAGGCCTGCTTTGAGTCAAGAGGAAAGAGCAACCTGCCCTAGATCCAGTGCCTCCCTGTGTAGCACTATCTTTGGAAACTGAGGCTACAGGCTCTGTAAGCAAGAGGACAATGAGGCTTATCACTGTGTCCACCAGGCTGAGCACAGAGTGGGGTCTAGCACTCAGGACTTCTAGCTATCAGCAGGCTGTTCCATATACACCCACGGCTGATTACCCAAGGACTTTTACTTTTTTCTTTTCAGTCTAGAAAAAATAGAAAGACTGCTAAGTTCCAAACTTAATCCGCCAAGCAGTTAAATGTTATCTTCTTTATAGAACCTTCTCTGATCTTCTGCCTGGAAACCAGCTCTCTCTTCCCCTAACTGTTACAACCCAGACACCATAGAAGCATATGTCTTGTGCTATGGTTGGCACCTATTCATGTGCCAGCATGGCGAGCCAGCCATCCGCCTCTGTCAGCTTTGCCTTTGTGCCTCCTGATTTCAGCCTGTTGGCTCTGCAGCAGCGTGTGACAGAGGCTGGGCACACATGTTGAAGGAATGAGTGCTTAGTGGGGTGGGGCAGGATAAAGTAGGGTGGAGCAGGACGGGGCAGGGTGGGGGGGGACTTACCTCTAAGCAGGCGCTTCGGGGAGTGAGATAGTACTCCTCTTCTTCTGTGTCTTGAGTGGGATCTGAGTGGAAGTCATGTCCATGATGCTGATGAGCGTGCCTGAGTCTTTGGAGACTATTTTGTATGAGGTGCTGAATAAGGAAGATACAGAAGAAACCAATGAGTTCCCTCCCCCCTCCCCTTCCTTTCCTTTTCAATAGAATTAAACCAATACTTTCTAAAAAAAACAAAACAAAACAAAAAACAAAAAAAGTGCAATAGATCAGTTGGGTTGACAAGAACAGAGGCTGTTTGCATGTGATGGGCAGAAACCCACACGACTTGATCTTGTTCTTCAGTTTGGGCCTCTCTAATGTGGGAGTATGTGTGCATAGCTAATATTTGGAATTTTCTCTACTATGGAGAATTACAACTCTGAACATGAAGTTTTCAACCGTGGGTGGAGTGTAAGTCACAGAGCTTTGTCACAGTGTCCCTACCCCCATCTCTTCCCAGTCCTCCCTACGCAGCCTCTGAGGAAGTAATTACCCCGGAGTCACTGAACCTCCTTCTGGATCAGGATTCTTCTTGTGTGTTTTGTTCACAGCCTTGCCTGTTTCCACAGCAGTGTAATTAGGTAGCGCTCGCTGGCTACGTGACGGTCGGAATTATATGCTTCCAGGTGATGTAGATGCAAGCAATTAATTCCTGCCTTCCCTCCCCTAACAGACACCAGATTGTCTACTGATGCATCTGTTCTGCACAGCATAGGAATTGTTATGAGTGTGACTTAATTGTCCCAAGAACAATGCCTGATGGCTGGGGATTTTCATAAGACCCCCACATGTTTGCTGGGAATTTTAAGGAACTTAGCTCTCTCTCTCTCTCTCTCTCTCTCTCTCTCTCTCTCTCTCTCTCTC